TGGACGTACAGTATATGCTCTATATATATTCTACACTCAGAAAAAAGTGTTCCAAAAGGGTTCTTTGGCTGTCCCCATAGGAGAACCCTTTTGGTTCCAAGTAAAACTCTTTTGGGTTCCATTTATAACCCTCTGGGGAAAGAGTTCTACAAGGAACCCAATACGGTTCTTCCTAGAACCAAAAAGGTTCTACCTGGAACCAAAAAGGGTTCTTCAAAGGGTTCTCCTATGGGGACAACCGAAGAAGCCTTTTAGGTTGTAAATAGCACCTTCTTTTTCTAAGAGTGTATGCACATTTCATGTCATTACAACGTGAATGATAGAGCACTGTGAAGGTGAGTGGCCGACAGCACCCAGCAGCAGACATACGCATTCCCAAATTACACCCTATTACCTATATAATGCATTACCTTTGACCAGAGCCCTGTGGAATAGGGTTCCATTTGGGACGTAGTCAGAGAGATTAAATGAGTAGAGCGTCTTGACCTGTCTAAATGTGCTGAGCTCAGGGAGGCATGGTGGCAGACATAACTGCATTCCAAATGGCACCCTATTCCCTATAGAGTGCACTACTTTTGATTAGAGCCCTATAGTGCACTAGGAAAAAGGGTTCCATTTGGGACACAGACAGGCAGACATCAAGGAGCCGACAAAAGAAATGCCTGCAGATCTAGACGAGAGGCGATGACATTATTGTCATAGACAGCACAGCACACGGCAACAGGGGGACAATAGCAGCTGAAAACACATAATAAGCATTGCCATTTGCCGTCGCCTCAAGATTAATGGTTTTGACCACTCTAAAGATTTGCTTTGCTCCTGCGCGCACTGTTTTGGTTCAGTGCAGTTATAAAGCACTAGTTGCACCACTGGTGTTTAAAATGAAAATGCCCCTGCAAAATAAATTATCAATTTTTATTGTGCTGTTGTTACATTTGTATATTTGGTTGGTCGAATGGTGTGGTTACATGTCATTTCTGCTGCGTGCACCCCAAGCAAATTCATTGTATAATTTCACTTTGCCTGTAAGAACCATGAGCATGGGCATGTCTGATTAGGCTTCGCTGTAACACTGTAACACTGTAGCACTGTAGCTCTGTAACACTGTAACACTGTAACAATGTAGCACTGTAACACTGTAGCACTGTAACACTGTAACGCTGTAGCATTGTAACACTGTAACACTGTAGCGCTATAACACTGTAAGCCTGTAAACTGTAACACTGTACAGTACCGTAACACTGTACACTGTAGCTGTAACACTGTAGCGCTGTACGTAGCACTGTAGCCTCTGTAACACTGTACACTGTACTGTACACTGTAACAATGTAGCTGTAACACTGTAGCACTGTAACACTGTAACACTGTAGCACTGTAGCACTGTAGCACTGTAGCTCTGTAACACTGTAACACTGTAACATTGTAGCACTGTAACACTGTAGCGCTGTAACGCTGTAGCGCTGTAGCGTTGTAGCAATGTAGCACTGTAACACTGTAGCTCTGTAACGCTGTAGCGCTGTAGCGCTGTAACACTGTAACACTGTAGCACTGTAACAATGTAACGCTGTAGCGCTGTAACACTGTAGCACTATATCGCTGTAGCACTGTAACACTGTAGCTCTGTAACACTGTAACAATGTAGCAGTGTAACACTGTAGCACTGTAGCACTGTAGCACTGTAACACTGTAGCTCTGTAACACTGTGGCGCTGTAGCGCTGTAACACTCTAGCACTGTAACACTGTAGCACTGTAACAATGTAGCACTGTAGCACTGTAGCACTGTAACACTGTAACATTGTAGCGCTGAAACACTGTAGCACTGTAGCATTCACTGTAGCGCTGTAGCACTGTAACAGCTGTAGCAGTTTTACAGTGTTACTGTGTTACAGTGCTACAGTGTTACAGTGCTACCGTTTTACAATGTTACAGTGCTACAGTGCCACAGTGCTACAGTGTTTCAGTGCTACAATGTTACAGTGTTACAGTGTTACAGTGCTACAGTGCTACAGTGTTACAGTGCTACAGTGTTACAGTGCTACAGTGCTACAGTGTTACAGTGTTACAGTGCTACAGTGAATGCTACAGTTTTACAGTGCTAGAGTGCTAGAGTGCTACAGTGAATGCTACAGTGTTACTGTGTTACAGTGCTACAGTGCTACAGTGCTACAGTGAATGTTAGTGTGCTACAGTGCTACAGTGTTACAGTGTTACAGTGTTACTGTGTTACAGTGCTACAGTGCTACAGTGAATGTTACAGTGCTACAGTGCTACAGTGTTACAATGTTACAGTGTTACAGTGTTACAGTGTTACAGTGTTACTGTGTTACCGTGCTACACTGTAACAGTGTAACATTGTAAAAATGTAGCACTGTAACACTGTAGCACTGTAGCACTGTAGCATTCACTGTAGCACTGTAGCATTCACTGTAGCACTGTAGCACTGTAGCACTGTAACACAGTAACACTGTAACACTGTAGCATTCACTGTAGCACTCTAGCACTCTAGCACTGTAAAAACTGTAGCATTCACTGTAGCACTGTAGCACTGTAGCATTCACTGTAGCACTGTAGCATCGTAAAAACTGTAGCATTCACTGTAGCACTGTAGCATTCACTGTAGCACTGTAGCACTGTAGCACTGTAGCACTGTAACACAGTAACACTGTAACACTGTAGCATTCACTGTAGCACTCTAGCACTCTAGCACTGTAAAACTGTAGCATTCACTGTAGCACTGTAGCACTGTAGCATTCACTGTAGCACTGTAGCATCGTAAAACTGTAGCATTCACTGTAGCACTGTAGCATTCACTGTAGCACTGTAGCACTGTAGCACTGTAACACAGTAACACTGTAACACTGTAGCATTCACTGTAGCACTCTAGCACTCTAGCACTGTAAAACTGTAGCATTCACTGTAGCACTGTAGCACTGTAACAATGTAATACTGTAACACTGTAGCCCTGTAACACTGTAGCACTGTAACACTGTAACACTGTAACACTGTAGCGGAGACTCTGACTGAGTAGCCTTCCATCAGCCTACCAAAGGTTGCACTTAGCAGAAAACTGCATGTCCGGTCGCTCGGGGTAGCTTGCAAGTAGATAGTGAGAAATAATCAGTAGGCCTAATTTGACGTGATTAAATCTGTGAAATAATGTTCCTCCCCAAGCTGTTTACATTGAACACCATTCAGCATTTTTACCATCTATTTTCCAACTTCAATCGGTTAAATCACGTTGTTAAAATGTTTTCAGTCCTGGCTGAAGTGCATCATGGCCGCTTCGCAGTTACAATGTAGCCAAGCTGTGTCTGTATGCGCCTATGAACCAAATGAAAAAGCAGGATATTTGTGTCTCCATAAAACAGCTCTGCTTGCAGGCTAGGATCCACGACGGGGCAAAAGGGGGCTTAGCCCCTCAGTTGAAATTTGTGCCACCTTAGTTTTAGTTTTATGTCCTTATATAAAAAATAATGTAGCAAAAAGTTCAAATGGGGTCTGAATACTTTCCAAATGCACTGTATGTAAGTAAGCATTGTCCAAGCCAACGACCTGTAGGACTGAAGCCTGTCGCCTGTTTCTGTAGCATGAGGCAGCTTGATGTACCAGAACACAGGACACTACCGTGTCGCATGTACACTACCAGTCAAAAGTTTGGACACACCTACTCATTCAAGGGTTTTTATTTATTTGTACTATTTTCTACATTGTAGAATAATAGTGAAGACATCAAAACTATGAAATAACACATATGGAATCATGTAGGCACCAGAAAAGTGTTAAACAAATCAAAATATATTTTATATATAGTAAATGGGCTTCCTACGATACCTAATGAAGGCCTAAAGATTGATTGTGACTTGGGGAGACACACCGTCAGCGTCCCAATTGGCACCCTATTCCCTACATAGTGCATTACTTTTGACCAGGGTGGCATAGGGCTCTGGTTAAAAGTAGTGCACTATATAGGAAATAGGGTGCCATTTGAGACACAGATCTTCAGTACCATTGTGACTTGGGGAGACAGACCGTGACATTCGTCGATAGAATTCTATGAACTCTGAGCCCTCTATCAATTATCTCTCTCTCTCTCTCCCGCTCTCTATTTCTCCTCTCTCTCCTCTCCCCCTGCCTCTCTCTCTCCCTCCTCAGTGATGGGGTCACCTCTGGTCTACCAGACTTCAGCCTCTTCTCCTCTACCATATGCAGTGCATCATAATCCATTGGATGAATGTCTTTCCATTCCTCCATCTGTCTGTTACTCCTCGGACCTGTACTGTAGATACTGCACCAGGGACCTCCAACAGGACAGTAGCTCGCCAATCAATTCTGAAAGTACATGCAACTGTCATAAACATAAAGCTCCCGGTTACTATCCAATCAATCAATAGCCACATCGACATTATCCCACCCCTGGTTAGCCACTGTTGGCTGAAAAAGCCAAACGCAACACAATATCTGCCAGTTAATTTCCAGCAATATTGCCCCCGTCTGTCTGTTTGGTGCATGCGTTTGTCTATCAGTCTGTATGTAGCCAGTTAGCGATGCTAATGATAACCGCTGTCTTGTGGGTAGAGAGAAAGACTTCTCAATGAAATGTAAACTGCAAAGTAGGCTTACCTGACAGAACTACAGTATATCAAAACTATTTGTATCAATTGGGTGGCCATTGTTTTTCTAACTTTGCCATGTTCTGCTGCCGTAGTAACATCGCTAGACCGAAACATTCCTCTCTTGTTGATGTGCAATTAAAGGGGAAATACACTCAAAAATCTAAATATGTTCGTTTTATTTCCAGACCTTAAAAATGGTCTTCTGATGTGATATTATAGGGTTTCAAAAAAAATTTCGTTTTTTTTCTCTTTTTTAATATTTTATGAATTTCAACTAAACAAAAAATTTAGGAAAAAAAAAAGGAATTCCAAAAAAAATTTTGGGAATAAAAAAAAAATTTTTTAACTAGCTATTCCGGTTTGTGAAGAAAAAATCCTGGAACCAAATGGGGGAGGTTTGGTAAATTTTCCCTTAAAAGGGGAAAGAAAAATTCCAAAAAAATGAAAAATTGGAAAATTAACCCTTATATCACAAACAAACCACCACACAAATTTTCCTACCTCCCCCTATAACTGGACTTGCCGTAAATAAGGGGTTTTTGTTTTTCTCTGTTTCCAAAACTTTCTCTCCCCTTTGGGGTTTTGGAAACCCCAACCCCAAAGCCCCCCAAAAAACCCCCCCCAACCCAAACACCCCAATTTAAAAGTCTTCTTTTCTTCTCCTTTCCATCCCCTTCTCCTTTTTGGGTTTCTATGAAAAAACTTTTTTTTTAATACCCACATTACATATTATCTTTCTCTCATCTCCCCCCCCTCTATCTTCTCTTCCCCTTCTTTTTCTTTCTTCTTTCTTCTTTGTTCTGTCTTTCCTACTCTCTTTTTTTACTTTGCTTCTCTTTTTTCTTTTTCTTGTTCTTTTTTTTTTTTTTTTTTTTCTTTTTTTTCCTTGGGCCTCTATCATTCAGTATCCATGCTCTTTTTATTGTTCCCCACGATTGGAAATCGGGGAGGGGGACTGTGGATCTGTCTCCGTCTGTCCGTTTGTTCGTACATTCGTTCCTACGTTAGTTACATGCAATATCTCTGACAGCATTGGCCCAATTTTGATGAAACTTGGGTGAATGATGTGTCTTGCCATAGAGATCTGGCATTTACAAAAGTACCTGATTGGCCAGATGGTGGCGCTATAACAAAATTGAAAATACAAACTTTGAAAAGTCACGCCCCCTCACCAATTTGACCTAAAGTCATGAAATTCGGTACATAGGTCCCTCTCCTCACAAGGAACACATTTGCCTCAGGGACCCATAAGATCCGCCATGATGGATTTTCCGTCATTTTGAATTTTGAAAAACACTTACAATGCTACTCTTCTGGCACCGAATGACCGATCTGCACGAAACTTGATATGTGGCAGCTATGGACAAAGGTTTCTCAATGCAATATTTTCCAGACTAGGATCTAAAACAACATGGCCACTATTGACCAATAAACATTTACGTGGGCGTGGTCTGGCACATAAATGCATATAAATCAGTCAAGGATATTTGTATTGTAACACAATTTAGTACACATGTTGCAAACACTGTCAAGACTCAACATATGCAAGAACATTCATATTGACCACACGGTGGCGCTATAATGGGCACACGTTTATATTTCTTGATCTGCTTTACTCAGAGTGCTATAATTTGGCACACATGCTCAGGGATATGAGTCTAGATTAACCCACGCAATATCACAGACACCACTGGCCCGATTTTGATGAAACTTGGGTGAATGATGCGTCTTGCAATAGAGACCGGGCATTTACAAAATGACACTGATTGGCCAAAGGTGGGAGCTTATAGTAGTTAACTGAAATGTGTTAGTCACGCGCAATATTTAAATCGGCACTGGGGGAGGGTGGGGGGGGTTGGGGGGCTGCATGATTCGTGGGGGACGACATGTTTATTGTTGCCTTGTTTTTATTTTGGCTCTCACCCCTGCCTTGTTAAAAAACACAATTACTCATATTATGTAGAACATTCACAGACCCACACACACACACACACACACATAGACACACACACACACACTGCCTGAGGTGTAAAGCCACCCTAATCCCCTCCGCCAGAACAATGACACCCAAATCTCCTACAGTGACATCATCTCCGCCTCTCCCAAATCACAACTTAATTTACCAAGTCTGCGTCCCAATGGTACCCTATTCCCTTTATAGTGCACTACTTTTGACCAGGGCCCATAGGATCTATATAAGAGACGCACACCAAGAGAACAAAGTCACAATCCCCTGATAACCATAACACACCCCGCTACCCCACACCGCTACCCCACTCCGCTACCCCACACCGCTACCCCACACCGCTACCCCACCCCGCTACCCCGCTACCCCACCCCGCTACCCCACCCCGCTACCCCGCTACCCCGCTACCCCACACCGCTACCCCACCCCGCTACCCCACACCGCTACCCCACCCCGCTACCCCACTACCCCACACCGCTACCCCACCCCGCTACCCCACTACCCCACACCGCTACCCCACCCCGCTACCCCGCTACCCCACACCGCTACCCCACCCCGCTACCCCACACCGCTACCCCACCCCGCTACCCCGCTACCCCGCTACCCCACACCGCTACCCCACCCCACTACCCCGCTACCCTACCCCACTACCCCGCTACCCCACCCCGCTACCCCACACCGCTACCCCACCCCGCTACCCTGCTACCCCACACCGCTACCCCACCCCGCTACCCCACACCGCTACCCCACCCCGCTACCCCGCTACCCCACACCGCTACCCCACCATTATTTGATCCCCTGCTGATTTTGTACGTTTGCCCACTGACAAAGAAATGATTAGTCTATAATTTTAATGGTAGGTTTATTTGAACAGTGAGAGACAGAATAACAACAAAAAAATCCAGAAAAACAAATGTAAAAAATGTTATAAATTGATTTGCATTTTACCCCACCCCGCTACCCCACCCCGCTACCCCAAACCGCTACCCCACCCTGCTACCCCACACCGCTACCCCACCCCGCTACCCCACGTCGCTACCCCACGCCGCTACCCCACGCCGCTACCCCACGCCGCTACCCCACACCGCTACCCCACCCCGCTACCCCACACCGCTACCCCTCACCGCTACCCCACCCTGCTACCCCACCCTGCTACCCCACACTGCTACCCCACACCGCTACCCCTCACCGCTACCCCACCCCGCTACCCCCACCCCGCTACCCCACCCTGCTACCCCACACTGCTACCCCACACCGCTACCCCTCACCGCTACCCCACACCGCTACCCCTCACCGCTACCCCTCACCGCTACCCCACCCCGCTACCCCACCCCGCTACCCCCACTCCGCTATCCCACACTGCTACCTCACCCCGCTACCTCACCCCGGTACCCCACTCCGCTACCCCGTAGCGCTGAAGATCCGCGGTATAGCGCAATTTAATTTCAAAGGCAATGTTTCTGCGTTTTTTGGAGACTGCATTCACGATAAACACTGCATATATTACATACAGTGAGGGAAAAAAGTATTTGATCCCCTGCTGATTTTGTACGTTTGCCCACTGACAAAGAAATGATCAGTCTATAATTTTAATGGTAGGTTTATTTGAACAGTGAGAGACAGAATAACAACAACAAAAATCCAGAAAAACGCATGTCAAAAATGTTATAAATTGATTTGCATTTTAATGAGGGATATAAGTATTTGACCCCTCTGCAAAACATGACTTAGTACTTGGTGGCAAAACCCTTGTTGGCAATCACAGAGGTCAGACGTTTCTTGTAGTTGGCCACCAGGTTTGCACACATCTCAGGATGGATTTTGTCCCACTCCTCTTTGCAGATCTTCTCCAAGTCATTAAGGTTTCGAGGCTGACGTTTGGCAACTCGAACCTTCAGCTCCCTCCACAGATTTTCTATGGGATTAAGGTCTGGAGACTGGCTAGGCCACTCCAGGACCTTAATATGCTTCTTCTTCAGCCACTCCTTTGTTGCCTTGGCCGTGTGTTTTGGATCATTGTCATGCTGGAAACCCATCCACGACCCATTTTCAATGCCCTGGCTGAGGGAAGGAGGTTCTCACCCAAGATTTGATGGTACATGGCCCCGTCCGTCGTCCCATTGATGCGGTGAAGTTGTCCTGTCCCCTTAGCAGAAAAACACCCCCAAAGCATAATGTTTCCACCTCCATGTTTTACGGTGGGGATGGTGTTGTCACGATCGTCTTCAAAAGGAGTAGTAGACCAAGGTGCAGCGTGTGAAAGAAACATGACTTTATTTAATTAAAGTATCTAAATACAAACAAAACACGATTCGTAAAGTCCAACGTTACACTGACCGACTAAGGAACAAAAACCCACAAACACAAGGTGAAGACACACAGTTTAAATATGGCTCCCAATCAGAGATAACGAGCCGACAGCTGACACTCGTTACCTCCGATTGGGAGTCACTCAATACAAACATAGACATCGACAACCTAGACACCCAACATAGAACATGAACACATAGAATGCACACACCCTGGCTCAACATAATGAGTCCCAGAGCCAGGGTGTGACAGTACCCCCCCCTAAAGGCGCGGACTGCGACCGCGCCTCAACTAAACAAAACAGGGGAGGGCTGGGCGGGCATACCTCCTCGGTGGCGGTTCTGGCTCCGGCCTAGACCACCACCCTCCGATACACCCCCCAAAGTACCCCTGGTCCTGTCTAGCCCCGCTGGCCGGAGCCGGACTGACGACACGCGCCCCTGGCTTGGTGCGTGGAACAGGAATGGACCGGAATGGGCTGGCGACACGCACCACAGACCTGGTGCGGAGAGCAGGAACGAGCCGGACAGGGCTGACGACGCACCCCGTAAGCCTGGTGCGTGGAGGAGGAACGGGCCTTACCAGGCTGACGACTCGCACCCCCTGGCTTTGTGCGTGGAGGAGGAACGGGCCTTACCAGGCTGACGACTCGCACCCCTGGCTTTGTGCGTGGAGGAGGAACGGGCCTTACCAGGCTGACTTCTCGCACCCCTGGCTTAGTGCGAGTGGCAGGAAACAGGCCGGACCGGGCTGGCGACGCGCACCGTAGGTTTGGTGCGAGTGGCAGGAACAGGCCGGGTCGGGCTGGCGACGCGCACCGTAGACTTGGTGCGGGGTGGCAGGAACAGGCCGGACCGGGCTGGCGACGCGCACCGTAGGTTTGGTGCGAGTGGCAGGAACAGGCCGGGTCGGGCTGGCGACGCGCACCGTAGACTTGGTGCGGGTGGGCAGGAACAGGCCGGACCGGGCTGGCGACGCGCACCGTAGGTTTGGTGCGAGTGGCAGGAACAGGCCGGGGTCGGGCTGGCGACGCGCACCGTAGACTTGGTGCGGGTGGCAGGAAACAGGCCGGGTCGGGCTGGCGACGCGCACCTGTAGACTTGGTGCGGGTGGGGCAGGAACAGGCCGGACCGGGCTGGCGACGCGCACCGTAGACTTGGTGCGGGTGGCAGGAACAGGCCGGGTCGGGCTGGCGACGCGCACCGTAGACTTGGTGCGGGTGGCAGGGAACAGGCCGGACCGGGCTGGCGACGCGCACCGTAGACTTGGTGCGGGTGGCAGGAACAGGCCGGACCGGGCTGTGGAGACGGATAGGAGGCCTGGCTGAATGCCTACCCTCACACACTCTGTGTGAGGCATCCGCACAGGACGTACAGGGCGGTGTACCCCTGGCCTGGTGGCCTTCTGGATCCTCCCCCTTTTCTCCTCCGTCAGCCCCGTCGTCCATGCCGTGTGCCCCCCCCCTAAAAATTTTCTGGGGTTGACTCACGAACCGTCCGACGACGACCCTGATCACGCCGTAGCTCCTCTCTACGGCGCGCCTCCACCGTCTCACTCCATGGCCGGCGATCCATCCCGGCCAGGATTTCCTCCCAGGTCCAGGACCCCTGTCCGTCCAAGATCTGCTCCCACGTCCAGGCTGCCTGCTCCTGGACACGCTGCTTGGTCTTGGTATGGTGGGTTTTTCTGTCACGATCGTCTTTAAAAGGAGTAGTAGACCAAGGCGCAGCGTGTGAAAGAAACATGACTTTATTTAATTAAAGTATCTAAATACAAACAAAACACGATTCGTAAAAGTCCAACGGTTACACTGACCGACTAAGGAACAAAAACCCACAAACACAAGGTGAAGACACACAGTTTAAATATGGCTCCCAATCAGAGATAACGAGCCGACAGCTGACACTCGTTACCTCCGATTGGGAGTCACTCAATACAAACCATAGACATCGACAACCTAGACACCCAACATAGAACATGAACACATAGAATGCACACACCCTGGCTCAACATAATGAGTCCCAGAGCCAGGGTGTGACAGGTGTTCTTGGGGTCATAGGCAGCATTCCTCCTCCTCCAAACACGGCGAGTTGAGTTGATGCCAAAGACCTTGATTTTTCACCCAGTTCTTCTCTGAATCATTCAGATGTTCATTGGCAAACTTCAGACGGGCCTGTATATCTGCTTTCTTGAGCAAGGGGACCTTGCGGGCGCTGCGGGATTTCAGTCCTTCACGGCATAGTGTGTTACCAATTGTTTTCTTGGTGACTATGGTCCCAGCTGCCTTGAGATCATTGACAAGATCCTCCCGTGTAGTTCTGGGCTGATTCCTCACCGTTCTCATGATCATTGCAACTCCGCGAGGTGAGATCTTGCATGGAGCCCCAGGCCGAGGGAGATTGACAGTTATTTTGTGTTTCTTCCATTTGCGAATAATCGCACCAACTGTTGTCACCTTCACACCGAGCTGCTTGCCGATGGTCTTGTAACCCATTCCAGCCTTGTGTAGGTCTACAATCTTGTCCCTGACATCCTTGGAGAGCTCTTTAGTCTTGGCCATGGTGGAGAGTTTGGAATCTGATTGATTGATTGCTTCTGTGGACAGGTGTCTTTTATACAGGTGACAAACTGAGATTAGGAGCATTCCCTTTAAGAGTGTGCTCCTAATCTCAGCTCGTTACCTGTATAAAAGACACCTGGGAGCCAGAAATCTTTCTGATTGAGAGGGGGTCAAATACTTATTTCCCTCATTAAAATGCAAATCAATTTATAACATTTTTTACATGCGTTTTTCTGGATTTTTTTGTTGTTATTCTGTCTCTCACTGTTCAAATAAACCTACCATTAAAATTATAGACTGATCATTTCTTTGTCAGTGGGCAAACATACAAAATCAGCAGGGGATCAAATACTTTTTTCCCTCACTGTATGCAAAGGCTGGAATTAAGACGTAAATATGTTATTGATCTTTTATGTTATCGTTTATCAATATGGAGTCATACATTACTGAAGCTATTTTTAGAGGAATCTTTGAATGGATTTCAAGTGTCAAAAAACGCCAGGGAATTGAATTGTTTTTCTCACAGACAACAAAGAGATGGGAGAGAGAGAGAGAGAGGAGAGAGAGAGAGAGAGAGAGAGAGAGAGATTTAGAAACTACCTCCACATCCTTCTCGTCACTTGTCATACTTGCTCTTTAGTCCTTTTTGTTGACATATACTCTCCAATGCTGTTTGGTTTTGATGTCTGATTCCCTTTGAAAGAATTCCCTTAACGGGAGAGAAGAGACTGGGCAGGTTGATTCTCCCTCTCTCTTAAAAAGAAGTGGCTGATCTCTCTAACCTCTAACAAACGCACACCACAAAAGAAAGGATGTGTCCCCGATGGCACCCTATTCCCTATCTAGTGCACTACTTTTGACCAGAGTCCTGTCCCCAATGGCACCCTATTCCCTATCTAGTGCACTACTTTTGACCAAGGCCCACAGGGGTGACAATAGGGTGCCATTTGAGACAAAGCCAAACACTTTGGGAGTAGGGTCTGGGTCTAATACTCATTCATGCATCCATATCATCCACACCAAGAGGTGTAGTATTATATTTGATTAGATTACATAAGATTACTTGTTTGAATGGCTAGACATTTTTTTCTAAGCCATCACATGCTGTCTGGACTTGGACACACACCAATATCTGCCCTGAAGCTTAAGTCGTTCTCTAGTCACCTAAATTACTAGTTATAGTGGGTTCCTTTTTTATTAGTCTCTCTCTCTCTCTTTCTCTCTCTCCAGCTTCAAACCTCTCTCCGTGTCAGGGCCATGTCTCCGTACACATGTCCCGCTCTGCCCCCGCTCTCTCTCTCCAGTTTCCAACCTCCCTCCGTGTCAGTGCCATGTCCCTCTCTGCCCCCGCTCTCTCTCTCCAGTTTCCAACCTCCCTCCGTGTCAGTGCCATGTCCCTCTCTGCCCCCGCTCTCTCTCTCCAGTTTCCAACCTCCCTCCGTGTCAGTGCCATGTCCCTCTCTGCCCCCGCTCTCTCTCTCTCTCTCTCCAGTTTCCAACCTCCCTCCGTGTCAGTGCCATGTCCCTCTCTGCCCCCCGCGCTCTCTCGCTCCAGTTTCCAACCTCTCTCTGT